TCTTGCCAAAATGCAAGATGGAGGTGCAGCTGCAGCTCTTTAGCTTAACGAAGCAAATGCAGTTATAGGTAGCTGATGCAAACATCCAGCATCTTGCATTGATTGTTGTAGCCACGCACACAAGCTTAGAATACATGTGAATTTATATACGCACACACACACACACACACACACACACACACATATATATATATATATATATATATATATATATATATATATATATATATATATGCGTGTTTTTGTGTAATATCTATATTGCACGTGATAAAATACATTGCACATAAGGGCACATCTGCATCGATGAATATATATATATATATATATATATATATATATATATATATATATATAGGTGTATCTATCTATTTATTGGTTTCTATGGTGTACAGATCATATGTGGACGTAGTTCGATTATTTTTTCTTACCTGCCCCGTTATGGTGACCTCCGTAACTCTACCCCCTCCCTCCCCGATCATTTTGAAAAATTGAAACAGATGGTTTGCCCTCTAACGTCGTTTACCCGCTACCTTATGGTACGCTTAACACTGATAATTCAACGTGAGGGCTATGAACCAATGACGCGAAGAGGATATTGGCGATGTTTCTGACCGGCTGTCTGAATTTTCTTGTAATTTGTCCGTTGTCATTGGTGTGAGTGCGTTAAAGAGCAAACGCTAGTGAGTGCAGCTGACAACAGATAATATCTAACGATAAGTTTCGTTTATTCTTCACTCGGTATTGTAAGAGCTACAGCCTTGTTATAGAGCGGAATTGCCAGAGACGTGTGCTTCAGCAAAACACCATTAGAAGGTTATGAGAATCATATGAACCTGGAGCAGTGCGGAGTAGTGTAAAGTCTTCCCATGTATTGTATATAATACTTCGTGTCTTGTCTTACACATAGCTTTCTGTGATCGATTTCGGAAATAGCTGTTTTGCGACTGTGGGATTTCTCGACGCATACCACGCTTCTTACGAGCTTTAATTCTCACCCTGATTCGTTCCTTTTCATAACACGACCTCATAGGAAATCGACGCTCCCCGCCCTCGCCGTTTTCGAACTAAAATCTCCTCGCCTCACGGAAGAACAGTGGTTTTGCCTCAACGAAATATCGCGATAAGCTTATTTTTCCCGATAATAGCACTGTTTATTTTTTGCGTGCCTGCATTTACGAAGTTATTCCACTTCGAAGCATTTAATTTGTACAGACATGTTTTTTGTTTAATTCTGAGCATATTGATGTGTTTTTGTGTACTGTGTGCACATATTTATCATGAAGTGTTTAGTGGTGTAGTTTCCTATCACGTTAGGGGGCTCCAGCCCCCTTCGTTGCTCGTCCCCCTCCCCCCACAACCCCACCCATTTTGGGGAAGTGCTTCCCTGTAGGGTTCCGTTGATGTGACAGTGTCGGTCTGCCGTGCGTGAACGTCAGATTTGTGTATTGCCTTCCGCCGCCCGCGCTCTCCAGAGATCGTCGTGCCGTGTTCCCAAAAAAGCTGCTGCTCGGAAACGGATGGGTTAGAGAGTTGTTTCACGGTGTTAAAACACGCGCAATGGATGCCACACAGGCCACTGAAAATTAAAACAGCATTTCATGGCATTCCGGAGAAATATTCTCAGAAATCCTTCCGACCGTATTCTACCACACCCTGATCAGGGCAAAGGCTAAATGCATGCAATACACAAATATGGTTAGGACCCAAGTCGCAAGAGAATACCTCGCTTACAAGTCACTCAGCGAAGCGAATCCAATCCGCCTCGCTTTCATCACATCTTTGGGATTTACCATGACCTGAGCTGCTACCTAAATGTAGCGTGCCGTCTTTTGCAGCCATCGGAAGAGAAGAAGAGAAGACGTCCACCACCCTCAGCCGCACCCCACCCTCTGCAGCGCCGTACTCGCAGCAGCTTTCTCCGCGGCGAATGAGACTGAAAAGGCCGACCAAAGGCGTCGGGAAGGACTCAGCGTGTGGAGGCTGAACACTTGAGGCTCGTGTGGTGTCTACATGCACCGCGACGTTTTGGTGGCCGCGCGGTTAAAGCCGGTGCCGTAGACCTGCGTGGTCGATGCCTACCTCGGCGGTATATGAGGCGCCGGAGCCGGTTAAAGCCAGTGCCGTATACGGCCGCGTGGTCGATGCCTACCTCGGCGGTTTATAAGGCGCCGGAGCCGGTTAAAGCCAGTGCCGTAGACGGGTGCGTGGTCGATGCCTGCCTCGGCGGTATATGAGGCGCCGGAGCCGCTGTTGTCGAGCCCATGATGGCCCGGATGGGATTGGACCATTCGGCCACCCATCGGCTGGTTTGCACGGTTTGTGCGACCCCTCGCTGTCGGTGGAGGCCCTTGATGGATCTCGTGAGCTGGATATCACGGGATGGTTCTGGATTCTGGAACCAAGAATCCGCCGTTTGGTGTCCTTAGTTACCCATCCCTGCTGCATCACTGCACAAGGGTATTGCTATCTCTTAGGTATGTAATGACAGTACGAGTTGAAGCCAGCGAATAGTCCTCACCATTAAAGATCGTTTGTTATTCGCATACAAAGATCAGTCCCGATGCCAATAACTGCACTGTAGCTTTTGCGATCAAATCAATCAATCCATGCGAGCCAATCCATCGCAACAGTACAGGGCATACGAGCTGCTGCGATGGTTGTTCTGTGTGACACAGCTCGTGTTTATCGGAAAAGAGCTGTTCGGCCACTGCCTCCCGGTACCGGGTGTATACAACATATATATATATATATATATATATATATATATATATATATATATATACCATGCCTTACCACACCACGAACGGCTTCATCATACCGTGAATGGCTTCATCATACCGTGAATGGTTTCACCATACCGTGAATGGTTTCACCATACCGTGAATGGTTTCACCATACCGTGAATTGCTTCATCGTACCGTGGACTGTCTTAGCTTCACTAAACTGTGAGTGGCTCCACCTTACCGTGAATGGCTCCACCATGCCGTGATTCGGGTCACGCTCTCGGGTTCTCAGGCTAAGCCAACAAGTCAGGCAACACGAGATGACGCTCTTCTTAACTTGGTGTGAACTTACACTCGATAGGGCAGAATGGCGCACGGTTCTCAAACAATGTGCGCTCAGTCTAAAGGATAGTGGCAATTGCTTAATAGGACCATAGTCACGTAAAAAGTATTCATGGCATGACATCTCGGCTGCATGTATAAAGCAGCGGGCGGAAAGCAAACCAAACAGCACGTTCTTGGGATCTGAGCTCCCCATTGGATGGACAGCACGGCACAGAACTGGCCTCGCATGAATGGAGTACCTGATAGGCTCGGATTACGTGAGTATATGTTTTTAAAGCAGCACACATGATTGACACAACGTTTGAACTTTACGAACAAGCCCATTATGGAAGGTTATAATAGCTATTAGATATTATAGGGTCGTATGATATCGTTTCAAACAATACCATCAAGCCGAAAAGGCGTCCAATTTCAGCGTCCGCAATAGTGACAGTAATGTCATTCCATTACTGCCATCTCCTGGTCGCTTGAGGCCTATCATCGCTTGGTCTGCTACATTTCGTGCAAGGCGTATCTGGCACTGCTTCAGGGGTAGTTACTAATCGCGAGCAGGACTTGCTCAGAAGCGGCAATCGGTAGCTACAAGCGTTAAGGAATGAGGCTTTTGTGTTCGGCCGCAATACTGCGGACTTACTCGGCATTACTCCCCTGATCTCTCATTACTCCTCTGATCTCTCATTACTCCCCTGATCGCAGTCTCAACACCAGCTGAGAACCGCAGTCACAGACAACGCATGCGAGACATCTCAGCTGGGAGCCCCCCGGCCATCTGGCCTCCTGTTTTTCCGTAGTCGTGGCGCCGGCTGCCGCCCGCCACAGCAGCGTAACCAGGGACCCAGACCGGTTCCGCGACGGGTGGATGTTCTCGGAATCGGCCGACACCTCACCCTGCCTCCAGCCCGCCCCTCGCCCTGCTCTTGCCGGGACTGGCTGTGGCCGACGGCGGCAGCAGCCAGTGGTAAACACTGGGGTCGGCCCTTTGTCCCCCCCCCCCCGGGCGGCAGGCCCCAGATGGCCGGCAGCTGGCACCCCAGATCACCCCCTCCCCTGTCCTCTCGCCGCTGCCCGTCACTGCCGCGGCGCAGCCAGGTCAGGGCAGGCGGCAGGGGCGGTGCGTGCAACTGGCGGTCCTATCTCGGCGGGGTAAGTCCTTCTGGTCTGTGGCCTGTGGTCTGGTGTTCCGCGGGTCTGCTGGTGTCGAGCTCGGCTCACGGCTCCCTGATGACATGCTGTCATGCGTTCAGCACAAGTTCTTCTGATTACACACACCGTTCAACAGATATATTCTATGAAAGACTGCTCGTCTTCCTGTGAGGCTGATCCTCGGACTGTTTCGCGGTCCGTCTCGCGAGTTACGGGCTTGAGGCCATTCGGGTGGACCGAACGTTTTTGTATTATCTGGCGAACTTCGTTGTTGTGCCGCAAAGCGACCAGCCGATTCTGGCTGGTGAAAGCTGAAGTAGTTAAATGAACAAAAAAAAACCGCCTCATGCAAACAGTTCAGGTCGCCATCAGAAGTTCTTTCGTCTTACATATGCATACACTTACCCTGTACGGGATCCTGTTACAGTGCAATAAAATATTTTCTGGTGACTAAAATGTGGAAATGAAACGAAGACGGAACCGTGATAACTGGCACCGATTGTCCAGGACGGTCAGTCTGCCTCTCGCGGTGTGTGGCACCTGCTGCGGGCCGGGACGGAGGATACCTGGCGGTCGCTGTTGGCGCAGAGGTGCAAGTGAACAGCCCACGAGCACACCGTTAAGGCTCCGTGCACAGACGTCCATCAGGGCCAGGCTCCCGTTCGACTTCTCATTTCGCCCAGCCGGCAGCCGTTCAGTTTGGCACAGCTCCGTTTGGTGCCTGGCCCCTGAACTGAACAAAGGATCGATGCCTTCGTAACGTTTTGAACGTTACGTAAGGCGTGACCGCGTCCGCTGTCATACAACCCTACCCCTGTTTGTGCGGTGAGCTCATGTGGGTGACGCGGCAGAGACATGTCCTTGTCGGTAACCGCAGCTCAAACACAAGCACAGCTTCGGGGCCAGTTTGGGAAAGAACGTCGCACTCTTATGTATGTCCATCGTCAAATCTTCCGAAAGTTACGGCGTCTGTCTGCTCGACGGCTCCGCTGCGGACGGGCCTCACCGCGATAACGTGGCCCGGCCGGGCGCCGGCCGGCGTAAACCACGGCTCCTCTGCGGACGGGCCTCACCGCGATAACGTGGCCCGGCCGGGCGCCGGCTGGCGTAAACCAAGCTCGCATGCCACCAGCATACAGAGGTCACTCCGCGGTGCTTAGCGACGGGCGGAGCGGCCCCGCACGGGCCAGCTCCCATGCTACGACACGTTCAGCTTCCTTCAGCTGCTGGCTGGTGCTTAGTTGTGCGAGTGCGGGATGATGATGATGATGATTGTTTGACAGCAGCTGACGCTCTACCTGAATCTGAAATTTGGTTTCGGCTCGTGGGGAGAGAACAAAAGCTTTATATCATGGCTTATCGTGAGAACAAATAACCCGGGCGAATTTGCACGGTATTCACAGCTGGCACTGAAGCATATACTTTGACAGCAGATGACAGTAAACGCCATGCTCCTAGCTGGTCTCAGTGATTGCCAAAGACCATTAGAGATTGGCTGCCTGCAATTCTCAAATTTCATAGCTTCATAAGGAAGTGCTTCCTTCTTAAGTCTATGTTCACATCTACTGTATTTCTGGACGCTATAGAGCCAATGAAAGTTGTTAACATTGATGATTCTGTTGTACTGGTGTCAGTCCCAATTAAGGCTGATAGAAACCAATGCTTAAAATGTCGCGCACCCGTTGCACCATTCCCCACAGCACATTATGACAAGTTTATGATTGAAATGGCATGCAATGGCACTGCCACAATATAGATAGGAGCATGTGGTACATATTAGGAGCATGCAATTTAGATAGCCATGTAATATAGTTGGACGCGTGTAAATCGACTCATGAGTACATCTACACAGAATAGTTCCTCTGCTCAAATCCACTACGAAGTGGATTTACACAGAATGCCACCCCTGTGTAAATCGACTCAGATCTGAGTTGATCTACACATAAACGCACTGTTGTGTAAATCCACTTGTGAGTAGATCTACACAAGTGTGGCTTCAGGAGTAAATCGACTCAGATCTGAGTGGATTTACACGGGAGCGCCATTCCGTGTATATACACTCGCAAGTGGATTTAAGCAGAGAAGGCGTTCCGTGTAAATGCGCTCAAGACGTGATTTACACAGAAGCGCCATTCTATGTAATCCCACTCGCGAGTGGGCTTAAGCAGATAAGGTGTTCTGTGTAGATACACTCATGATGGATAAACACATCTGTGAATTACATGGTGATGTGATTTGCACAAGAGACAGAGCGTATTCAACGCAGCGAACCGGCGAACTGATATATGACTTGCCGAATAAGGGAAATGTGTGATTTCAGCAATCAAGCAAACGCACAAGAGCTGAAAATATGCATTTTCCCATGCATAGTTCATTTTTGCATCACTGAAGCTACACATCTGCGTACTTTGTGGAGAATATACTGTCCAGAGACACGTTTGCGGTGTGCGGCTTTTATCCAGTCTTGGTAACGGGTGAGGGGTGTGGAGGGCTCCCAAAGGGGCTCCTTGATGGTGAAACACACACACCCTCTCATACGCACAACTTCGTCAGCTTTGGCCGATGGATTTCCACCGGCATGATTTTGTGCGTGTTTTATGCATTTCTAACCTTCTTCACTGGGACAAGAAGGCATGAAAGGTACTGGAAAACAATTTGCTGTGTGTTTTATTGCAGGCAGTGATTAACAGAAGGGAGGTGATGTTAGATGACATACAAAATAACGCACCGGCGTTATTCCCTTTAAATTGTTAAGCTGGTTCTACCAAAGGGATAGACCTCGGAGCTTTGCCAAGTTTTGTTCTGAGCTCTGCAGAGATATTCATGATCCCGTGCACGTTGAGTGTAGATGGAAATAGAAAATGAAAAAAATAAAAAAATAAAAAAGGGTCAGCAATTTTTTCACTTTGTCTAACCCATGTTCGTTTGGGGATGTTAAACGTTCTGTCAGAATTTATTAGCGATGCAACTTATGTAGCAGTGTTTAGGATACGCACTTCGAGTCTTAGAAGCCTACCCAATGCTATGATTACATTTCCTCATGCAGTAATGCATCCTCGCCCAGAGTTTCTATGCGGCAAGTGTATCCTCGATTTCAGAGGTTAAGTTAGGGTCACTTCCGGTGAACCTAGGGTCTTGTAATTAGCATCTGTAATAGTACGGAACATTCAAACCCAATGGTATGAACTACCCGACCCTAGCACTTATATTTTCGAATGAGACTTTTCGAAGTCATCTTTGGAAAGACAGACTTAATTAAAGTAGCGTTCCCCCGGACTAGAAAATCGCAATGATTGAACGTTGAATAACGCGGTATGTAGCATGGAGAAATGCATGGAAGACTTCGTTAAGTCCTCACTCAAAAAGGGAACCGAAATCGACAAACCCAGACTTGGGTTGTACCTACCTTCATGCCTATGCAACCTACCTTCTGAATACAGCTCGGTACCTTAACTGAACCTAGTACTGTGAGGTAACCCAACTGAAGCTACCCAACTGATTCACACGTGGTACCAGTAGGGGTGTGTTTGACATCCGGACCAGCCTTTTGCCTGTAAATTTGAAGTCGCTCAACTTGGGGCTAACTTAAAACCAAGAACTTAACTTTTGCATAACGCTACGGGAAACGCTTTTTAGGTTTAGGACACTTGCAGACGTCTGCGCCGAAAGAACCTCACGGTTAAATACAAACATTCGTGGTACCTAATGAGGGTACCGCCAATAATGAAAGGTGGTAAATATTCTCTTCGCTATTCTAGTTTCTACCTTCAGCTCTTCACAACTATGTCTTCCGTGAAATCGCTAGCATTTTCGTACGCACATCAACTTTGCCTGTTTCGTCAAAGACACACGAAAAAGATGTGTGCGTGCAGATGTCGTTCAACCTCGGCACCCATGATCTTCTCGCTACAGTACAGTACTTTTAGCTACAGTACAGTACGCTACAGTACAGTACGCTACAGTACAGTACGCGTGCGGATTTTGTCACTCAACCGAAAACGCCCTGGACGATGCCGTTGAGTGAGCTGTACTCGGATTGGGGTTAAGCACATCGTAGCCGTCACTTTCGTAAACATCAGCCGTGCCTTTAATTGTTTCGACCATGGCGTCGTTCTCTGATAAAGCTGCAGTGATATTGCATCGATCCGAAGTGGTTTGGGAGCTACCTTGCTGGTCGAAGGTAGATGGTGACAAGCAGAATCTCTCTCCTGTCGATTCACGGTGTCTCTGTGATCCTTGGTTGACCCTATCCTCTTCAGTATTTTTAAGAATGAATTTCTATCTTACCTCCTTCACGAATATCTAGTATCCTGTGCCGACCACACCCAAATGCTAGACTCTACTCATCCAGACCAACCATCCGTTCCGAAATCACGACAGGAGGAAACCATTGAAGTGAGTAATTCCTACTTCACATCTAACCCCCTAAAATGAAGCCGACCAAGAGCTGCTCTTCCCGGCACTCCACAATCCTGAAAGGAAACCTTATTTTTTCTCCTGGACATCGCGGGACACCAATTAGGCCCTTCGTCGCTCATGAAGGTGCTGGGGGGGGGGGGGGGGACGGGGGGCCTATTGCAGGTACCTTTTCTTGGGAGATGCTCGAATCCTATGCTAAAATGCGCGGACCCATCCTTTTCCGCTTGCGTAAAATCCACCACAACCAACAATATTGGCTGTTTGTGACGAATCACAATGAACAAATTCCACCACAATCAAAGCACAATCAACAAATACGTCGCCCGAGGTTCGTAAATCTACCATCCAGTCCCATGCCCTCATCTTCTGTACTGCCTCTCGGTCTGGGGTGTGGCTGCAGCGCATCTCCTAAATACAGTGCAAGGGGTGATTAACCGCGGGGCCAGGATCGTCACCGATGCTCTTCAGCAAGATCCAATGGCGGCGACTGTTCAAGCGCTGGGCTGGCGTGGTGACCTAGTCATCCCCGTGGCAGCCTCGTTGTGTTCAAGGCCCTTAATGACCCGTGGGTTCCTTTGGAGATTCGATCCCTGTTCACCACACGTACAGCTTTACGCCAGCGTCACCCGCGCGGCAGCGATGGGCGCCCTGGGTCTGCCAGCCCTCACCTACCGACAGCACGCAGGTCTTTTCGTATTTACGCGGCCCCAGCCCGCTACCGCCGACTACCGCAACCTCTCACACCTACAGTGTGCTCTTACACCTACAGTGTGCTCTTACACCTACAGTGTGCTTTGCGCCAGTCTGGGCGATGTAGACTGCCCTGTTGTGTAATCATTGCTTGTTGGCCGCTTCGTAACATATTCTGACGGCTTAAATTTGGATGCATAATTTATTGTCTGCCGAGCTGTGAGAACAAAGGGACGATTGATAACGTGAGAATCTAGTCGCGCCGTTGTTTTGATATTGCACCCATACTACTTTTGTAATTGTACCGAGTCAAACAACCCAGCTGTCGGAATAATTTGTGATTAAAATGAGCGTGAGCATGACCCAGCCTCGCATTCGCAATGAGAGGCGTCACTGGAGCTGCCATTGGTCTTACGCATACCGATGAAACTCACAAAACATTTGTTGGGCTTCATCAGACGTATTTGTTGATACGTGGGATTTTGATAATGCGCAATAGCCACTTCAGCAGAGATGGTCAGCTTTAAATCTATTAAAGTATTGGGGTAAGTGACCTCTCCACGATAACCACAGCCATGGAAGGTACAGCAGGCAGCCGTGCGAGATTACCACAGATGCACGCCATGAGAAGTAGCAACCATGTCACAATAGCGCAGGTCTTTTACCGCACTGGAGCGGCCAGACATGCCTCACTATGTCAGGAAGACTTTCTCACA